AGGTCTCGAGTCTGGATGGAGATTATACACACTCACTGCAAATTCATTCTCCACTTGCTAAGGGAGCACCAACTTAGAAAGAGAAAGCTCCTCAGCCCCCTCAGGGCTACTTGCAGATAAGCACTCACTCACTGCTGAGCTGGCCTACTCTGCTTTGTACTACTCAGCCTTTTAAATGGAGCACAGTCCTATGCATTATCACTATGCATGCATGCATACACACACACACACACACACACCTATACACACACACCTATACACAAACACACACACAAAGCTTAGTCCTCCTTAAAGTTGTCAGTCTTTTAGAAGCAGCAGCTCAGTGACATCATAATCCCCATTTTGAGTAAAGTTGTTTTATTACTGCTGCTAATGCTATGCATTTCTTCCAATGCTACTTTTGCTACTTCTAGAGGTACTAAAGTTACTACTGCTAGTACTTCCATTATTGTTACACTGCACCAACTACCACTACCACTTCTAATGATAATGAAAGCTGAACTCTTGCATCCTGAGTCGATTCAGAACCAGGTCTTGATTCAAAAGGCACTAGTTTCATGGTCCAATTTTTTGTTTAAAAGGTTCAACCTTTCTACAAGGAGTTTTTAACAGGCTATGAAACAACAGTCTCAGTTTGATACTGATGTCTCTATATGACCTACATAAACAAACAGGACCATCAGCGCGCTTAAAAACTAAACTGTAGAAACAGCTTTTGTCCACAGGAACCACCAGAATCGACACAAAACGACACAAATGTAGGAGCTTTAACATCATTAATTTGGAAGTATGTAACAGTCTTCTGCCTGTATGAGAACAATGAAATAATGTAATTTACTGTTCAACACTGCTGGCTAAATGTCTTTTAAAAAAACAGAAGTTTATGTATGTGTTCTGGAGTAAGAGGAGTGGAGGGAGAGATGTGAGGCAAAGAGACAGGTGCATGCAAACAACAGGAAGTTAGTTATTGTAGTTGGACCTGCTGACTTTGCTGATTATTAACACAGGCAGCAGTTGCTGTAACACACAGCTAATGGAGGCTATTAAACTACTTTAAAAGGGTTAGCCGCTGATCGTCAGTTTTCTTCAAACTAAGTGTAATTGTAGTCAAATCTGAACACATAGACATCATACACATATATTCAGATTCAGAGTGGCTTACACTTCCTGAGGATAGCATTATCTCCGATGTCAACTGCATAAATGTCCATAAGAAAGAATAAAGAAAAGAAAACGGCTTCTTATGACTCCAGACCTGCCTGATAATCATCAAATTTTTTTGTTTTCTTCAGTATAAAAGTAATCCAGTGATAGTTGTCTGTACATCCATGGTTACACTGCAAACAGGAATTGCTAATAGCTAATTCAGCATACTTTTAATGGTGCAATTTTTCCATAATGTGAACAAATATAGGCTAAAACAAACAGGGCCCAAGCTGTAGCCCACAGCTAACCCACTCAATCCAAACTTGCTTCCTGTTTACATCAGTCAAAGAGAAATGATTGGTACTTCTGTTCCAAAACTTAGAGCATGATCATCATCCAAATAAAAGTAAGACAAATAATGATAGAAGTGATTATTCTTCGTTCAGTCAACATGATGTTATTAACAACCTAGTAACCTATTTTTTGCAATCTGCCAATCAAAAGTCCTCTGAATCACATTTTTGGCTCTTTAGAAGAAGTCTGAAATGTTGTTGTTAATATATTTGCTAAGATATCTTTTGATCTTTTATCTCTAAAGTGTATTTACACACTTGTATTTGCACAAGACTGCTGTTCTCATCTCAGCTGATTGCAAGCCTGTTCAGCAGCACGCTCTGTAGTCAGTATTAATCTGCTGGTGTTGGGTACTGCACAAGGTCAGGGCCACCAGTGCAGAGCTCCGTGTCACATCTCAAAGAGGTTCATTATTTCAATCCAGCATCTCATCACTAGATGGCAGCCACAGGTCAAGGTGCAGGCTGGGAAGGATCAGTGTGCTGCAACAAAATAAATGTGTTCTGAAAATGAGCTAGATCTGTTTCCTTTTAATCACCTTTCATGTTACTGCTGCAGAGAAATGTGAAGAGCAGAATCCTCTTATCACCTGAAGTGGTTTCTGTCCAGTCATCATGTTCTCTGCTCAGTGTCTTTAGCCTCTGCCTTACCTCTCTTTCTCATATTGACTGTGCCGTGGTGCTGTTCTGTGTCCCTGCAGAGCTGTACAGCATCTGCCTGTCCCGAGCAAAAGAGAAATGGAGGACCACGGCAGCACCGGCCCCAGAGCCTGAAACTGAAGGTAGAGACAGAATGGAAAATGTTCTGTTTCCTGTAATGTTGGTCATATTAACTCACACACTAATATGACTACTGGAGGGTAGTACTAGATACTACTGCTCATGTTTTAAGATCTTCTTTATGTTTGTCCATGTCTTCCAGATGCTGGCTCATCAGATCGGGAGTCGAGTCTGGAGCTGATCAAGCTGGACATCTCAAGAACTTTCCCCCACTTGTGTATCTTCCAGCAGGTCAGTGAGAGGAGCCCAGCCACCCATACAACACTGTTTTAAATTGCACAACAAAAGTGAATTAAAGTTTGAATTCTCATTCACTCTGACATTATTGTGTAAAGTAAATCTAACATGGACATTTCTGGGGACTGGTGAGGGTATTTTTGGCCTCTGTGTTCCATTGTCGTCATTGTTTCTTTGTTCATCATCAGGGCGGGCCATATCATGATGTGCTGCACAGCATTCTGGGAGCATACACTTGTTACCGGCCAGACGTTGGCTACGTAAGTCATACACACAAAAACACAGCATTACACCGTGTTGTGATACTTCAGCACATTTTATTTTATACTGCGGCTTTAAGAACACATTTGTGATGCCTCACATCTAAAATCTAAAACTTTCATCACAGATCCGTCAATAAAGTAGTTAAACACTGTCTTCGAACCTGTGTCTATTTATATGTTTTTTTTGCTTTGTGTCAATATTAAATTGGGTTAAAAAAAAAAAACATGAGACAAAATATTGCACACAGGTATAGGAGTATTATTTGCATATAATGAAAGTTTAGAGGTGGCACAGATCTCCCACTCAACACCTACATAGGTTATTTAAGCTACTAATAGACTAAGTTTGATTGCGGTGTGGATGACTGACAGCTTACGGTAATTGATTTCCACTGAGTGTGCGCTTTCAGACAGGAGGAGCTCAGTGGGTAGACGTTATTCTCTGTGCCTGTGTGACTACATTTCCATCCTGAGGCCTCCCCGATTTTAGGAGAAAAAGATCTGCAGTCTGCCAGAGACGATGCAGATACTCTGCTACCTTTACACTCCGGGTCAATATTTACTGGAACAGCTCGTGTCTCTAACGTGGGAAAATTGACTTATGAATGTATGTTTATTATCAGGTAAAATCAAAG